CGGCAGAGATCGTGAGGATAGGTCCAGTTCCTGAGCTTGAGCCCGACGCCGTCGAATGCCATGAGAGGCGCTTCACTCTGTTGCCTTCCTTGCCATTGGAAGGCGTTTGACGGCCAGAGTTGATCCCGCTTCGCGTAGGGAGCGAGCTCCTCTTCGAACTGAGACGAGGAGGAATGTTCTCAGGAGCGAGAATGGGCCAGTTCTCCAGGGTTGGGCTCGGCGTAAAGGCATCAACCAAGGTGCGCGCAGCCTTGGGAGGCGAATTGGGGTCTACCACCTGCGCGACAGGCGGACTCGGCAGCGGTTTCTCGCTCTGCGGGCGACGAGGGAGGCGAGAAGTGCCCGTAGGCGTTGTCGTCGCACGCGCTGCCGGCGACAATGCCCTCTCAGGCAGCGGACTTCTCACGCCAAACGAGGCCGGTCGTATGCTGGGTATCTTTGATTTGTTAGCGCCCGTCATGTTAGCATGTGTTGACAGCTTTGACAAGCTGTCAGGAGGTCACAGCAAAGAGGTTCTGGCACGTGTCGGGGCGAGGCGGTCGCGATGCGGTGGGAAGGCGCTTGAAGTTTCTATTGTAGCTGCCAGATCTGGAGTTTTGCGCACGGACGCGTCTACTCATAGAGGAGCAGTGATGGTGAAAGAGGAAGTCCGGACACGTGCAGTGCACTCCTACTCTTTCTGGCATCCCCGGTGAAAATCACATACCGTTCCATGATTGTATTGTCAGCTTTGACTGCTACTCCCTGGGTTTTGGCCATATTCTCTACATCACGTTGTGCAGTGTACAGAGGAGGAGAGTGGAAGTCGCGATGTGTGAGGTCATCAAAGCTCGGGCCATTTCCCATTTGCGAAAAGGCCAGCCAGACGCGTCCGATACCCCGAACCAATTCATTGCATAGTACACGACCAACTCGCGCCACGCTCTTTCTAGCACCATGGCGAAGACATACAAGCAAATGAAGGAGGCCTGGGTGTCCGGACACACCGGGAGCTCCGTAGCAGACGTGAACAGCGTCTCGCTCGCAATGCCTGTACCGTACACACACCCACTACTCAACCAATGCACTCTTACTAACCGCATGCACAGCTGAGCATTCTACTTTGGTCCGTCATCCAGTCGCGCATGCGCCTCTTCACGCCGTACACGCCGCCGGCCTTCCTCGTCGACTTCCTGCTCAACTGCGGTGCCACATTGTTCGCGACTACCATATACTCCTCCTCGCCATGGATCCTGAATCTCCTTCTGCTGCTCCCGGCAATCACGCTATACGTCTTCGAGAAACCGGCGCCGGTGAAGGACGCTCCCAGGCCACCGAAGATGGATAAGTCGGAAAAGGACACGAAGCTCGATGCGCTGCCCGTCAAGCCGTTTATAACGAATTATCGGGGCGCGATGATGGTTATAACGTGTGTTGCTATTCTGGCAGTCGACTTCCGTGTCTTTCCGAGGCGCTTTGCGAAAGTAGAGAATTGGGGTACTTCGCTCATGGATATGGGTGTGGGATCATTCGTCTTTACGGCTGGTGTAGTGTCTGTACGGGCGTCTCTCAAAGAAGGAGCTGGTCATCAGTCACTGTCAAAGCGCTTGACAGCATCCATCAGACATGCGATTCCCCTCCTTGTCCTAGGCATTATACGGCTCATCTCTGTAAAAGGACTGGACTATGCCGAGCATGTCACAGAGTATGGTGTGCACTGGAACTTCTTCTTCACCCTCGGCTTCCTCCCCCCATTCGCCGCTCTTTTCCAATCAGCCTTTGACTTGGTCCCCTCCTATGCCGTCCTCTCGTTTACTCTGGCTGCCGTTTACGAAATAGCTTTAGACTGGACTTCCCTTGGATCCTTCATCCTCATAGCACCCCGTACCGATCTCTTCTCTCAGAACCGAGAAGGCATATTCTCTTTCTTCGGCTACCTCGCCATCTTCCTTGCCGGTCAATCGCTGGGCGCCTCCGCACTACCTAGGCAACAGCAGATCCCAAAGGATGCCACATTCCAGACGAAGCTTCGGCAATCCACGTTCGGGAAGCTGATCATGACCTCCATGCTTTGGACAGTGTTGTTCTACTTCTCAACCAGCTACTACGGTCTTCGACTCCCTGTATCGCGCCGCCTAGCCAATCTGCCCTACTTCCTCTGGGTCTCGTCGTTCAACAGCTATCAAATCACCATTTGTTACGCCATCGAAAGCTTCCTCTTTCCGAACTTGTACAAAGCTACGACCAAAAGCGAGGAATCACGGAGGAGCCGGGAAGCGACTAGTACTGTACTATATGCCTTCAACCGCAATGGTCTCGCAGTCTTCCTTGTGGCGAATCTGCTCACAGGTCTGGTCAACATGACGTTCCCGACCTTGCACATGAGTGTCGTGCAGTCCATGGCAATACTCGTCGCATACATTGCTGCGGTCACCGCAGTTGCAGTGGGTCTAGACATGTACAATCTTACTATAAAGCTGTAGGCTTGCTGTTCGTAGATTACTGCAATGTGACTACTAGGAAATGTATCCACATAAAGCCTTCTCATGACCGAGAATCAAAGAAGTACATTACTCCGTCTCGTAAACCACTACCTGTTCGTAAATCTTCCCTCATAGATGCACGGAAGCGAGATCACTGCAAACCTGTCATACCTTCTCCGGATCGTTGATACCGCCGTTGGTAATGATGTACGTTGCCTCCTTCTCCGGCATGTCTATCGCGGTCAATTAGCGGAGGTAGGAAGAAGAGTAGCAACGAGGAATTATATACCAGGAGAGTCTTGTATCTTGGCAACACGCTCCTCACCGCGACCCTTACGAAGCAGAATCCTCGTAGCAGACGCGTGAGCAAGGATGTGGCCACCGATCGGCTTGCGACCGTCTGCGCCAGCGAAGAGAGCGCTCGCACCAGGGTCGCTCTGAACTTGGTTTGTCAATAGCACGGCGACATTGAACTCTGGGCAATGTCAGCAGAGATCGAAGATCAAGGGTGATCTTCCGCGTACCTTCAGCGACATGCGTTAGCTTCGAGAGGAACTGGTTGAGCTTCTGTTGGCGCTCGTTGAGTTCACCGCGACCCGTATAATCGACACGAAACAGAGCCATGATGCTGTCGATGATGAGTAGTCGGTACTCGTTGCTGACGAAGAATTCAGCGACTTTGTTGAGAAGCTCCATCTGATGCTCCGAGTTGACAGCGCGGGCATAGGTGATGTTGTCTTGGGCTATGCATGGTCAGTACAAACGTACCAGAAAGAGTATAAGATGGGTACCAACCAGTCTCAGGGTCGACTCCAAAGCGCTCAGCGATTTGGGCTATCCTCTCGGGTCGGAAGGTTCCCTCAGTATCTGCATGGCGGTCAGCGGCGTTCGAAGGGAGCGACACCCAACATACCGATGTATGCCACTTTGCCTTCTGCGCCACCCATGTCTTTCGGCAGCTGCGCAATGACGGACATGGTGTGTGATAGCTGAGTCTTTCCGCAGCGGAACTCTCCGAAGACTTCGCTGATGCTCATGGTTTGGAAGCCACTGGTGTATATCGTCAGCGTCAATGCTTGGAATATCGACTGTGATGTGCACTCACCCACCGAGGACTGCATCGAGTGCCTTGCTGCCAGTGGAGATCTTGATGACACGCTTGCGTAGATGTCCGAGCTCATGTGCGGTCTGGAAGCCTCCACCAGAAGGCTGCGACGTATGTCAGTGATGCGCACTCAAGTGCTGGCCTAATACAGTGACGCACCTGGCATTTGGCGATGGCGTCCTTGACTTTGTCAACCTTGATCTCACTGAAACCCTTGATCTTGAGGAGGTTGCGACGAGTAGCCGAATGCACTGATGCGATCGTATAGTAGCCGTTTGACTTGAGCTTCGAAATGTCGACAGCACCGATGCCGTGCGCCTGGATCGCATCGATATCGACGATGAAGCCGTCCTTTTCGTGGTCAGTCGAAATCCATCCTACTTTGGAAGGATGCAGTCACTCACATCGTTGTTCGAGTCGTCGCTGGCCACTGAAGAAGCACCCATAGTAACTGCTGGTGATAACTGACGCGAGATGAGATGAAAAGGAACGATACGGGCGAATTACGAATGATGCGTTTGCGGGTGACGGTAACGAATAACCCGAAGAGAGATGAGAGAAAATTCTGCGGAGGTGAGATCGTGGAGGAAGGCACGATGGGAAGGAGCGCTAGGCTCAACTCCACGTGTGTGACTGAGAGGAAGGAAGGGGCAGCCACTACCAACAAGATAGCCTTCAACCCCGAGATAAAGCTGAACGTGCACCAGCTCGATCTCAGGAAGAACACAACGACGGTAATGTATGTCCCTGTCTGGTATGTCCATAAACAGACATCGCGACAATTGTCAAATTTGGGCAGCATAGATGCTTACGGCCGTGACCGGTGTCAGGGACGGAGTCAAAACTTGCAAAGGAAATGTTCATGAGATTGCATATATTCGAAATAGATGATACAATCTAGATCTATTATATGCAAGCACAAACAAGTGTAAACATGATAACAGACAGATATACCGACTCAGCTCCCGACAAACACACACAGTCTCCTTCACTCTTCCCCCTCAACCCCTGGGGGCACTCTTTCCACACCAAACCACCACAGCCGCCTCCAGCTCCATAAGCGAACCCGATCTATCCAAGCAAATTCGCATCAACAACGCTTCTGCCGAAGCCGCAGTCGATCCAAATCACTTGCATGCAAACAGGCCGCCGTCCAAATCGCCAAGCCGTCGTCTGTCGAAATAATGGTAGAATGGTTGAAGTAAGGGATACAATGTTCGTGGGGTATCAGTGTAAGAATCGTGAAGAACTTTTGCCGTATCCGTTGATGACTCGTGAATGCGTGAGATATGCCGATATGATGCTGAGATTGGCCAGGAAAACGATTGTGATGAAATGACAAACTAAGGGAAGGCATGGGAATGCATGCCAGGTAAGCCAGTGGTCGCCGCGATGTTACTCAATGGTGGACCTCTGGCGAGGCTCACAGTCGTCTAAGCGACAGTAGCGGTGGGGGCAGCGGCCGGGACGGGAGCAGCAGCGACAGGGGCAGCGGTGGTATCGCCGTTGACCTCAGCCTGTGTGCAGTCGCGGGAGATGTGACCAGTCTCGCCGCAGCGGTAGCAGGTCTTGCCGGCAGTGTTCAATGGGCCGCCGTTGGGAGCAGTGCAATCCCGGGAGATGTGGCCTGGTATGGTCAGAAATTGTAACTGGGAGCGCGCTCACTTTACTCACCAAGCTTGCCGCAGGCGTAGCACTTCATGGCTTGGGCCTGGCAGTCGCGGGCAAAGTGGTTGGGTCCACCGCACTTGTAGCAGGTGGCCGGGCGAGCGCCGCCAGCGAAGCCGCCACGGAAACCTCCTCCGTACCCTCCACGGGGAGCACCGGCGCCGCGACCCATTCCAGGGTTGGGGCAGTTGCGGGCAAGGTGGCCAGCGATACCGCAGCTGTAGCAACGTCCGCTTGTGCCGGCTCCGCTCAGGCGCAGAGTCGGGCAGTCAGCCTGGACGTGTCCGAGACCCTGGCAGTGGTAGCACTGCTTGGCTGTTCCCTTGTCAGTCCTTATTCTCTGGAGGTATAGCCGCCTGTGTCCTCGACATGCGCCAGGACTCGGGGTGACGTACTCTCGGTGGTGCGCGGGTGCGGGCATCCGTTGGACTCGTGGCCTGGCTGCTTGCCTGTGGAGGGGTTAGTCCATAGTCGCAAGGAGTGGTTGAGTGTGGTCTTACAGTTGTAGCAGAGCCTCTCAGACGAAGAGCAGACCTCTGCGCATTGTTGTTAGTCGCGTTATCTTGTGGAAGTTGCCTCATTGCTCGAGGTCACGCGATGCAGGCACCGCAGCCAGAGACGATGTTCGCGATACAAGTCCCGACCATGCGACTGCAGCGCGCGCGCCGGGCAGATGCGCGGATATCGCTTACCGGCGTAGTGGCCAACGTTTCCGCACTTGAAGCACGCACGACGGGATAGAGAAGACATGATGGTGTTTCTCTGCGTATATCTGGGTAGCGTATAAGTATATATGATCGGTGGTTGTGTGAGCAGCGAGGAGGAGTGGATCGCGAATGAGGGGCGGTTTTATGGTGTGTTTGCTGCGACGTGTGCTTTGATCCTCTGGTTTGCTCGAGGAAATGCGCGCCGAACAGCAGGAGTGATAGGCGCACGTACCTGCTTCGTTTACTTCTTCAATTTCTTCACCTGCGTTCGCCAGTCAGTCGCAGATTTTTCGAGGGGTTGTTGTCGAGGGGTAAAGACTGCGGACGCAGCACGCGCCAGGGCGGAACCTCGCGCGCACCCTCGAGACGGAGCAATCCTCGGCAGGCGCGACCTACTTTCTTTCAACTTTCCAGACCTTCTTCCCGCTGCAACACTTCTTCAACCTCCTGCCAGTGGTGTATGTGGTGAGAGAATGAGGGGATCGTGGAATGTTCGGGCAACGGGCAAAATGCATCTCCCATGACGGTGGTCCCTGCTCCGTGCGCTAGCGAAATGCGCAATCTGGTTCTTCCCGAGGTCGAAAGTGCGTCCCAAACGGCCCCCAATTGCATCATGCGACGTTTCAAACCACTGCAACCTTACCCTCTTCACCCTAGACGACTTCTGTCTCCTATCTTCGTGCAGCAAAGGCGCTTTCCTCATGCCGTCGGCCCCTGACCTATCTTTTCCAGTTCCTCCGCTGCTGCCGCCAGCTCGAGAACTATGTTTCTGCCCCGCTTCATGACACCATTGCTGCAGTCGCATGTCTGGAGCTAGGACACAAAGTTAGCTTCTCCACAAGTCAGTTAGTAATCACCCTTTGGGAGGTCCAGATATGTCAGAGGCGCCGAAGAGGCAAGTGGCCGATATATTCATAAGTATTCGTGTCTATGTATTATTCAATGCCAACAGTAGTGGAGCTTCTGTTGTAAGAGTGGGTGGCCATATTCCTTACTCTACTGTGTCGTTCCGAGAAGAAGGTCTCAGGGCGCCTGCACGTTGTATCGAGATTTATAGGTCTTCTAGTCTTCAGACTCGATGACCGCGGGTGCCTTGATTGTCCTGCTCTTGAGGAAGTCAAGGCCTTCGCCACCCTGTTTTGGATTAGCATACAGTCTCATATCTCAAACAGCCTCGAGAACTTACGTAGGAGATCAACGGTGAAACTTCGACGTAGGAGTCGGAGTCCTCGCTGACGACAGTCGCACCGGCGGCTTGCACCCATTTCCTGCCCTGGGTCATGATGTCCGCCTTGCTGGTATCCGGGTCGTCTTCACCAGTTCCGCGGGCGTTCTTCAAGGGCGAGAACTCGTCCTCACGCTTCACTTCCATGCAGGCAAACTTCTCGAGAGTCAGGAAGGGGAAGCAGTCAAAGACAAATTGCTCCAGCTTGATGCCATTTGGCTTCTCTGGCTTGACTGTCTCTCCGGTCTCGGTGTTGACGAAAGGAATCTTCTTGCGGGCGACGTGGTGAGGCAGCTTCTTTGCCCACTCTGGGATGCTCTCGAGGAACTTGTATGAGTAGTAGTGGTTGACAATGTTGGCAGCACGGAACTTAAGCAGGCTGGAGTCCTTTGAGTCCTTGGCCTCTGCGTCCTCAGTAGAGATTTCCGAGTATTCGACAACATCTGGCTTGCCGTTCTTCTGCAAGATGAGGCCAACTGACTCCTTGGCGTTGCGCTTGCGAACGACCTTGGTAGCGATGTCAACGTTCTTTGAGGCGGAGAAACCGATGAAGGCGGGATCGGCGACCTTGACGAGGCAGTTGTCGACGCAGTATGCGTGGATGTGCTGGATCCCGCGCTTGCCCATGTCTTGCACGACGCCGGACTGGATGAGAGCTTGGTAGAGACCGCCATTGCCATCGGGTGCGACGGCGACCTAGTCATTGTCAGTATGCTGTCCTGGTTCTAAAGCACCCTGAATGAGAGCGGACGTACCTTTGACTTGCTCTCCAGCAGGATCTTGCCCTCGTTCGAGATGCATGGCAAGACACCCTGCTCGAAGATGACGACGTTCTCCTTCTTCAGACCAAAGTAGTTGTGCTTCTCGAAGAAGTCGGCGGTAGGGCCGCGAGTAGGCCCACTGGTCATGACGTACCACGGGATGGTCACGCTCTCCTTGTTGTGCTTCTTGGCGGCCAACATCTCGGCCTTCCTGATCCTCTCACCCTGCAGTTGGAACAGGCTCTTCTTGCTAGGAAGGCCGATGTCGAAGCATCCCTTGGGCGCTGAGCTGCCCAGACGGGTGCCCTGGCCACCAGCCATGAGCACAACCGCGACCTTGTTCTCGGCGATCAAGTCCAGTCCGCTGTCGTACCACTTGTCGAGGTCCTCCTGGGAAGACGAGAGGACGGAGGATGTGGCATTTTCGGGGAGGGGCTCGAGCTTGTTCTCGCTGGCTTCGGTCTCGGCGGGGTGAAGGGCTCGCTCGGTGATCTCGTTGATGTAGTCGGGGTTGAAGTTGCTCAGCTGCTCGAAGAGGGTCGCCTTCTCGGCTGTGGAGAGCTTGTCGTAGAAGGCCTAATTGCGTCTGTCAGCAAAGATGCATGTGATGAGAACAAGTCCTGGGTACGTCGCGGGGTTGAGCAAGCCATGCAGTGCTCACGCAGTCCAGCGAGGTGCTCCCAGACTTGCAACACCAACGCCCGGGCTGCACTTACGAAAACCTGCTCTTGGCCAGCCTTCTGGTACTTGGCCTTGAGCTCATTCAGCTGCTCCTCTGTTGGCTCCTTCGCCGGTGTGCCCTGGGGTGCGCCCCCAGTGATGTTGAGCTTCTCGAGCGCGCTATTGACGGTATCCTTGATGGCGTCCATGGTGATGCGGGGTATTGGCGGGGTAATTCGTGCAATGCAGAAAGAAGTTGCAATTGATCTCGAAAGTGTACGCTTGATATATACACTGAATTCGTTGGAAGGTACAGTTTTGCTGGCTCACCGCGTCCTTATGAAGATTCGACTGCAGCATAGCACTGACGCCTCGTGTTGCCCCACTCGGCGTGCGTCCCTGCTGCACATGGGTGCGATCGAGCCTCCCGAGATCGTCAGCGCCCGCGTCACTAATTTTAGACCTGTTGTGTACCCTTCGTATTTGATGAGCTGCGACTACATCGTAAAACTAGCAGTATGGCCAGTCGCTTAATGCCATTCGTAACTACACAAACTCAACCAGAAGCCTCTAGTTGAGCAAACAACGAGCAAAATATATGCCGCTTCAGCGTAATGCTTAACACCAGGCCATCCAAAAAGCAAGCCATATGCAACTCCCGCAACGCCATGACGTCGTGTAACCATCCTAAGAGTGTCCGTTGACTTCCGCCTTCTCGGGCTCAGCAGGCTTGAGCGCTTTCTGCGGCGCTGGATTCAGTATGCGAGTGGCATCGATCAAGCCAGCGTTGGGGTTCAGCTTGAGGCCAAAGCCTGGAAGGTCGAGGGTCTTGACGTCGAGATATCCCTTGCTAGGAATTGGCTCGTTGGTGAATCTGCACAGTATTAGCACAAAGCTCGTTGCGAGTTAGGGAGAAACTTACAGGTTGCCGAATACGGGCAACACAGATTTGCCATCCGGTGAGTTCGCAAGATATTCTTGGAAAGGCGAGTTGGCCTGAGAAACGACGAAATGGTACGAGTATGGTCCACTGGCGTGAGGAACAACGGGAATATCGTAGGCAGCAGCCATGGCCGAGATCTTGATGAGCTCAGTCATACCGCCAACCCACATAACATCGGGTTGAAGAATGTCCAGGTTGCGGCCCTCGATGAGTTTCCTGAAGCCATATCGTGAGTACTCGTGTTCACCAGTGGTGAACTTCATGCGGGGGTGAGCGCGCTTGATCTGCTCAAAGCCATCTGAGTCGTCAGGCGACAAGCACTCTTCCCACCAGTTCAAGTTGAGGTGCTCGGTGGCCTTGACCACTTCGATGGTGTAGGGTACGTTCAAGCTCATGTAGCAGTCGACCATGAGAGGAAAGTCTGGCCCCACGCTTTCGCGATGCTTGGTGAGGAATTCGACATTCTTCTTCAAGCCTTCAACACCCTCACCAGGGCCGTACGGCAGTGGTACTTTAGCGCCGAAAAAGCCCATTTCCTTTGCTGCCGCTGGCTCGGGACCAGTGCAGTAGAAGTTGAGCCTTTCCCGGGTTGCTCCACCGAGCATCTTGTATACAGGCTCGTTGCGAATGTGGCCGAGCAGATCCCAAATAGCAAGATCGATGACTGAGATGACGGCGACTGGAAGACCCTTGCGACCGTAGAACATGGACGCGCGGTACATTTGCTCGAACATGTGGTTTGTGTCTCTAGGATCTAGCTTGAATCAGGATGAACACTCCAAGCGTCGCACAACTGGATACTCACCTTGGCCTATTAAGAAGCGCTCAAAGTGCTCAGCGACTAGCCAGCACGCTGGCGGCCCGCCAAAGCCAGTCGCGAAACCCTTGGTGCCGTCGCTGGCCTCGAGCTCTACACAGAAAGACCCCAGAACATTGATTCCCCAGCTAGTTCTTGACTTTCGGTACTGCTCATATCCGCTCATGGGAGTGGATATCTTGCTGTCGATGAGCCAGTGTCCACCAGCGACATTATGGTAGTCTCCGCCGCTGCCGGGGCCCTGTGTTATGAATGTCCGTACGTGTTTGATGGTCGGGAAGGAGCGCGCTGCGCCAGATTCTTCGGTGGAAGGCATGATCACGTCAGGAAGAGGAGTGTGGGATAAACAACCCAGAAGATCACAGAGTATAGAGGAGGGGTAGATAAGTGCACGGAGGGTCAGAAATGATATTTAAACCGCGGGATAGCGGCGTGCCAGGCTTCGCGTCTGATCAAGAGGGTCCCTCGGTCCATCTCGCTGCGACTTGCGACGATTTGCGACGACTTGGGAAGAGCCATTGATACCTGGGCTAAGAAGTGGAGCGCAAACGCGTGAGTAGGCGTCGCTGTGAGGCGTTCGGCACCCAGGTCGGAATGTGGACAAGGCCGAAGCATGTGTTTTTGCTGACGAGTATTGTACCGAAAAGCCAGCGGCCCACTCGGTGCCACCAATCGAAGGATGCGGAGGGCGCGCTTGCCGGTCTATACGATTTACGATATCTGGGGTAGGGAACTAGAGCGTGCAGGCGGGGCTGCAAGAGTAGAACCCTCGGTGTAGCTCTTCCGAACCTGCACGCCCCCAATCGCATTCGCTTTCATCATCATGGACGCCAGCACAACCCACCAGCAGGCGGCAAGTCCAAACGGCACTGCGAAGCTCTCCAACCACTCTCCTGGCGATGCGCAAGACTGGAGTGGTGATGAACGCTCCAGCGACGAAGAAGCCCACGACAGAAGCCAAAGCGGCACGTCCAACAAGCGGAAGCGGCCGCTTTCTGTGAGTTGTGAGACATGCAGTAAGTGTGACACAACATGATGAGGCTGTTGAGGCTCACCATGCGTAGAGCAGCGAAAAGTCAAATGCGACAGAGGCGCGCCTGCTTGTTCCTGGTGCTTGAAGAACCACTCAGCATGCGTCAGTTGCGCCATCCACTGACATCTCCCCCAATACTCAATCGCATCAGGTCTACCTTCCGCGCAAGAAGCCCGGCCTGCGCGCTGGCTATGGACGAGAGCTCGAGTCGAGACTTGGTAAGTCGCGCATCCTCACCACCCTGTTCTGGAGTAGCCGAGGTCTGGATAAGCAGACTGAAGTTTGCCGTTATCGCTGGCAAACTTCGCGCGCCCACAGTCATGACAGTAGGACTTGATGGAGGTCACGACTGTCGCGCAGCTTGACTAAGCGGGCGCTCCCTCCGTCCGCCAGCTAGAGACCCTACAGGGCAATCGCGACCACAGCTGACAATCGTCCCTTCCCCAGACAAGCTCGAAGCGCTCCTCGTCCAGCAGCAATCGCAAATCAACCATCTCTCCAGCACCCAAGTCGCCACGTCCGGCCCGTCACCGCAAGAGGTAGCCGCGTTCCGAAGCCCGCCCGTCATCCAAACCCCCCATATACCGCGTCCCGAAACGGCCCTCTTCATCCAGAAGCCCACGTTCCCTTCGCAAAGCGCAATACAGAACCAATATGGCAACGGCGTCACGGACAATAGACCCACCCCCTCGGTCACGGGGAATGGCTACCAGTCCGAGGATGTGAGCATGAGCGGTGGCTTGTCCAGAGATGGCTACACACCATACAATGAGCAATACCAGCCGGCCATATCGAGGAATCTCGGCCATGCGGATGCCGACTTTCCACCGTACGACCTTCTGTATGGCCTCGTCGATCTTTTCTTCAAGCACATCAACACCTGGTGCCCCATCCTCCACCGCCAGAGCACGCTGAACTCGCTTTTCGGAGACGCGACGCTAGAAGAGGCGGATCGAATCATACTACACGCAGTTGTCGCGACAACTGTCAAGTTCTCTACCGACCAGCGCTTGACTGCCGAAAAGCGCACGCGCTACCATAAGAACTCCAAAGAGAAGGTCCTGCTGTATGGCATCGAGAACAGCTCTGTAAAGTCGTTGCAGGCGCTTGTGATCCTCGCTCTGGACGTTGTTGGCTGCTCCAATGGCCCTCCCGGCTGGAACCTTTTGGCTCTTATCACGCGCTCAGTCGTCCAGCTAGGATTGTCTGTCGAGAGCTACTCACCGAGCGTCGCTCCACAATTTGCGTCAATATACACCTTGCGCGCCATGACGCTGCCTGAGCCCAAGGACTGGATCGAAGAAGAGAGCCGACGCCGCCTTTTCTGGATGATCTACGTCCTAGACCGATACGCGACCGTTGCCACGGCTTTCGAATTCGCTCTCGACGAAAAGGAGATCGACCGTCGGTTGCCGTGTCGCGACGACATGTATGCGCGCAACGTGCCCGTCGAGACGCGATGGTTCCACACCTCCACACGATCTGACTACAGCATGAACAGACCAGAAAACCTGGGCTCTTTCTCATACTACGTCGAGATTCTGGGGATCCTCACACGCATTCACAAATTCCTCAAGAAGCCTGTAGACATCACATCGTTGTCCGACGTCGAGAACTGGCAAAGTGAGTATCGTGAGCTTGACAATGCCATCGAGCAATGGAAGTATAATCTTCCGCAAGAGTTCGGCAACTCCGCGAGATTGTTCGCAAAGCCGGGTATGGGACAAAATTTGGACAGTGGTCTGGTGATGCTCCACGCGGCCTTCCACACGTAAGTTGGTCTTACCTTTACCTCCAAGAAGATGCTAACCCCCACAGCACTGTCATTCGTCTTCACTCATCCGCGGCGTACCCTACCCATCGATCGCCCATCTTCACACCGTCCTTCAGCGCTAGCCAGCGATGTCTTAGTGCCGTTGAAAACATCACAGCCCTGTGTGCTACCGTACGCGACAACGGCTTGCTGAGCAAACTTGGCCCGCCCTTCGCATTCTCGCTCTGGGTAGCTGCACGTGTTCTCTTGGTCCACGGATCCACCATCGATCACCGAGTCGACCAATCCATCAACCTCCTGGTCAGCACACTCCAGGATATGGGTCAGTACTGGGAAGTGGGCACGCGCTATGCAAGTCTTCTTTCACGCGTACTTTCTGAATACCAAGAGAGCCAGGAGACTCCCGCTGGTGCGAATGGTGAACGCGTGACACCCTCAACTGTCAAAATCCTCGCCGATATGCGACGATGTGCATTCGACCTAGACTTCCTCATATCTCGCCAACCCAAGCTCAGCAACAAACAAAATCTGAAGATACCATCAGTAACTCCAGCTCGAACACCGGCGGCAAACGAGCTAGAGTATCTCGATGTGTTCGACTTCTTCAACATGCCTCGACTCCCTGTGTCGATAGACGGAGCCATGAGTTACCCTGCGCCAGACGGCAACATACAGTTACCGGACGGCGGGTTTGGAAACGAGTCGAATATTACCAACTATATGGTCGATGCGAGCTCAGATTGGTTTATGAAGCAGTCGGCATAATATTTCTCTTTATGTCTTGGGTGCACGGAAAATGGACTGTAAAAGTTGGTTGATCTTTCGGTACATAATAATGCGTTTCGGACCCTGTTCATAGTTTTGTCCATACGATCTCTTCTTACTTTGAATGATACCCTATTTTATGTCCAACAGACTTGGCTATCCCATCACCAGTGATCCATGCATACGATGAGTCCAAGCAGCTCGATGTTCAGGACCGTACCTGGGTGTGACTTGTAGTGTACGCTTGTCCGGAACCGTTCATTCCGATCGGAACGCCATCGGTGCGTTATCTGCATCCTCGCTCAACCTCTGTAATCGACACTTGACAACACTTCTCGCTAATCAAGTAATACTGTCATCCGATCCATTGTGATCTACGCAACTGCTTGTATCCTCTATCAAGATTGCGTCTATTTGGTTTTGTACAATACCGTGTAGAAGACAGTCGCCGTTTGCCGTCGGAATAGGCTGGTGAGACTCGGGATAGCGTACAAGGTATGGGTGAATCTTACTCCGCTGAACCGAAGGTATGAGAGAGATGAGTCATTGACATTGATGTAGCTTCTTATATAGCTTCGTGCAACGCTTGAGCATTTGATACCCAACCTAGGTTCAACGCAGAACTCGCACTTCGGCCTGACTGTCATCGAAGCATCCCATCATCAACATCTTCAAACATATCCCATATCGGAAGCTATCTATCATTACTCAACCACCCATTATGGCTCCCCAAAAAGACCATCAACACATCCTCATCCTCGGCGCCGGCGTAATCGGTCTAACAACCTCACTCGTCCTATCACACACGTACCCCACCGCCAAGATAACCGTAGTAGCAAAGCACTTCCCCGGAGACCGCTCCATAGAATACACCTCTCCCTGGGCGGGCGCCAACTGGTCCTCCATGGCCCACGACAACGGACCGCTGGAGAAATACGACGAGGTTACCTTCCACCGATTCGGCGAGCTCATCGACGGGAAGAGCGTGTTTGGTTGCCAGACTCTGAAGGCTGGTGAGACGGAAGGTGTTGATGGGGTTAATGGAGGGGGCAATGAAGCCGGGCTGGGGAGAATGGGTATGTGGGCTGCGTTTGATGAGCCGATTGAAGAGGCGGGTGTTTTGACTGAGGAGACGGGGAAGGTGTGGTATGATGAGTTGGTCGGGGGTTTGAGGAAGTTGGGTGGAAGTGAGTTGCCCAAGGGAGCTAACTTTGGGTTCGAGTTCCCAAGTACGTTCAGGATCAACACCCAGGTTTATCTGCAGTGGTATGTTATCCTCATCATCTTTCCCTCAACGCAGACCTCTAGGTAAAGGGCCATAAACAAAGAGACTAATACCGTACCAGGCTCCAAGCTCAAGCTTTGTGCAAAGGCATCACACTCGTGCGCCGCCACTATCCTTCCGTCTCAGAAGTCCTAAGCGACCACCCATCCACCACCCTCCTAGTAAACTGCACCGGTCTCGGCTCCCTCAAGCTTTCCGACATCAAAGACACGAATCTATACCCAACACGCGGCCAGACACTACTCGTCGCTGAACCCAAAACGCCAATCACCAGAATGTATGAAATGGAACGAGTCAAGTACGACAATGCTTCCTCCGCCCCAGACCCGACTATTCTCCGTATATCCAGTTTAACTAACGAACCTCACCAGGTCTTTCCGCTCTCCAAAGCGCATCGATCCCACAACAACCTACGTCTTCCCGCGTCCGCTCGGTGGCGGCGTGATTCTAGGTGGCAGTCGCCAGGACAACGATTGGAGCGAAGAGTGGGATGAGGAACTCGGTCAGGATATCATGAGGCGGTGCTGTGAGTTGTGTCCTGAGTTGGGGAAGCCGGAGGATCTGCAGGTTATCGGGCGGAATGTGGGCTTGAGGCGTAAGTATCAGCGTAGAAAGAGGTTTCATGAGGGGGCTGGCTGACAGTATGTAGCGTCGCGTAAGGGCGGTCCGAGGATTGAGACGGAAGTGGGCAGGTGGAAGGTTCCGGTTGTGCATTGCTATGGGCATGCGGGCGCGGGGTATCAGTCTTCGTGGTGAGTGCATTGAAGATTGTCTGTGTTGACAGTACGATACTAATGTTTCTCGCAGGGGAACCGCCGAGCGCGTTCTTGAACTCGTTCAGAAGACGCTGACGCCCAGCTCCAAGCTATAATCGCTACATCAGACACTCTTAGCTAATCCAAACCAGGCTTGACTTCACTCAGCCAACTCATCATTCCAACTCCACTCATGCTCATCTCCCCATCTTCTCCTCTTTCCTCCCCTCATCCCTACTATTCCACTCCCGATCAAAAACCTGCAAACTCCTCTGCGCAGTAGGCACAACATCCAACGCCTTCACACTAACCCTGTCCTTCTGACTCAACATGAACGCAGCCGCTTCCGCAACATCAGGCGCAACAAGAGGCTCGAAGCCCGACATGAAAGTATCGTAGCTCTGCTTTTCGTATCCAACACTGCATGTCTTGTCAGCTCGGAACATCCAGCGCAGCGCTGAAATAATGAAGAGAGGGGAATAAAGCCATACCGTTGTTCATGGAAGTTTGTTGCTACAACACCAGGCCGTAACGCGAGGACTTTGATGTCAGTACCGACTAACTCTGTTCGAAGCACGTTGGTGAAGGCCTCTTGGCACGCTTTGCTGGCATGGTACACTGCCTCGCCAGGGAACGGCGGTACCTCTAGTCCCGTGGTGCTGGTGACGTTCAGAATCGTCCCCTTGCCACGCTCCTTCATCTTTCCCTCGTTCAAAACCGTATAAGCAGCGAACATGTACCCATTGATATTCGTGCTCGTCATTGTGATGATGTCCTGGATCTTGAGGTCAGGGAAGCGTGACGGCGCACCTATAGCTAAACCGGCGTTGTTGATTAGAATATCGATGTGGGAGACTTGCTGGACGATGTTTGAGACGGCGGTGCTGAGGGATGTGTGGTCTTGTACGTCGACGACTGATGTGAAGATCTTGAGATCTTTGTGTTCTTTCTTGAGTTCGTCGGAGAGGGCCTTTAGCTTGTCGTCTGAGCGTGCAAAGAGGATGAGTGTTGCGCTTTCAGCGGCTAGTCGACGTGCAATGGCTGCGCCGATGCCCATAGAAGCCCCTGTGATGAGGACGGTTTGGTCTTTGAGTGACATGGTAAGGGATGGAAGTATGAGGATGAGATGGATGGATGAATTGGGATAATAGTTCACTTGGTGTGAAACCTCAGGACTGTTTTGTTGTGACTGAGCGTGATAAGACTATGAGAATGACATTGATCACAAGAGTACATATGCGGAGACTGTTCATGCTAATGGGCGTACTGTGGAGCAAGAATGACGTCACTAGCATCGCATTTGTCATCTACGAACGGTGTCCGACATGTGTAACAATCTCCATTAGTAGGAACAATCTCCATTAGTAGTAACAATCTCCATTAGTATGTAGTAAATACAGTCCATAAGGGTATCTCCGTAAACAATCGTACTGGTGGCATGAGTAATGTATCCCATCAAACGTCTTGGGTATGGACTTACATTTCGTATCTGATTTTGCCATCGCAGCGCCAGTCCCTGTCTTGTGAATAGCGCAACTTTCAGTTGCTTGTGTTTGTGAGCTTTAGACTTCGAAGAGTCGAGGTATGTCGAAGAGTGTTGTTGACTGTTCGATCGAAACCATCAACCATCCCACCTCTGCGCCTCTTTGTTGTAACCGATGAGCTTAAGGTCGATGTTGAGGGTCTTGAGCATCATGTCCATCGTGAAAGACTGCATCAAGGTTAGCATCATGTCGTACGTGTGTATATCTCCGCGCACTCACATCATCGTCTGCTCCCTTGAACGTCTCCTTCTCCTCTTCTCCTTTCTCCCTCTCCGAATCCATCTCGGCGTAGCGATCATACGCCTCTTCAGAGACCTCACCACTCTCTTTCGCCTCCTCCATCTTCTCACGCTCTGCTTCCATCTCTTCTTTATCCCATTGCATCTGCCGTTCCTTGGATTCTTTCTCACGTTCCTTCCAAGCGCCTACCCCGCCCATTCTGTTGACCCTGTCTCTAGTGCTGCCAAACAGCTCTTCCGCCGCCGCACGACTCGCTGTGCGCCATTTATCGACCAGTACGACCAGATCGTCATCCTTTGTAGACGTAGCGAGGGTCTGAGCTTGTGTAAGCATCTGGATCTCATTGCGGATCTGCATGATTTCGCGTGCGACCGAGGGTTTTGACGGTGTCTTCTTCGACGCGACACGTGACGGGGTAGATAGATTCGGACGTGAGACGAGAGGTTTCGAGACGCGTGGTGTCACTTTAGACGTTGCTGGTGTTTTCGGGGGTTGCATAGAGGCGGTAGAGGTGGCCGCTTGTTGTGCGCCATTGTCTGCAGGGGCGGTACTTCTAGCAGGAGCGATCGTTGTCCTAGGTGTATCAAGCGCAGGAGTGTGGACCTCAGGCGGATCTGAGGATGGCGGGTCGTCGCCTATGCTGGGCTTCAACGGTGTGCGGAACGGCGATTTGAACGGCTTCTGCAGCGTTTTTGTGGCTTCGTTCAGCCGGCGGCGTTTCGCTTGCGGGGTCGACATCTTCGCGGGTGTTTGGGCATTGGTGTGGGTGGTCAATTCTCGAAGTGGGGAGTGGTGAGTGTCTTGGGACTGGCGATGTCATCGTCGCTTCTGAATTCGGAGGGTCTGACGCGTCGCGCTAGAGCCTCGTCATCACGTGTCCATCAGGGTGTCTCATCTAGGAACTGACCACGGGCAGCTCTGTTGAATGAGGCAGGTACGAACATTATACGCGTTTCATGATAGACTCAAATCTTCACAAGCACGAAAGTCGTATTGTGATAAGCACGATTATCTAAGCATATACATAGCATAGCGGCCCCGAGGTAGTAGAGAAGAACTCCTTGCTCGCAATGTGGTTCTGACCTGGCGGCGCCACCACATCCAACTCCTGCTGATCTGTCGGTTTACCTTTGGGACTGTTGGGAATTGACCAATGGGTGCCGCCTTCGTACATGCTTGTGCGAGATTTGACCTCCTTCTCTTGATACATGGCCCACATCCACCAGTGCCTGTCCAGCTGACCATGGTGCAGCCAGAAGGCTGGCTCCGCAGGGCTCACATAGACATCACCTCCGGGATCACCCCAGATAGAGAAGTGACCGCCAATGTGCAACGCTGAAAGACTGTTCGTCGCATTGGTCTGGAGTGTGTCCTGGAAGGTACCAATGGCCTTATTGGTGGTGATATGGAATAGAAGATCTTGAGGCCGGAGATAGCGCTCGGTGAAGAAGTTGCTTACGTCGCGACGGTGACAGCGTGGATTGTCACCATAGCCATCGGCGCGTGGGTTTGGTGGGATGTTGAGTTTGGGGTCCATGGTGGGCGCGAGGGGACCAAGACGAATGGTCAAATTGGTGAAGGGACCTTTACTGATACAGCCTCCTCCCGGTCCACCAGGAAGCGTCTCACCCGGCCATAGACTCATGCCTGCATGCGGTCCGATTGGATCACCATTCCCACCCATGCTCCATTCGTCGCCGTTGAAGATGGGGCTGTTAACGAGATCGGTGTACTTGGCCCAGTTCCAGTAGGGTCTGTGATGAGTAGGTGAGGTTAGTGTATGCTTTACACAAGATCTACACAAGGGTACTCACTGGTAGCCTTTGTAGCCACATTCCGTACGAAGTGCTGTTTCGTAGGCCCATATGTAGTAACGGTGCCAGTGCATGAAGTTTGCGGTGGCGTGAACCGTCGGTGTCATGTTCATATGCACCACGACAAAGTCCTCATAGCGAGACTTTGCTCCAGGATATTGTCCAGCAGGAAGTTTAGAAGGCGCCTTGAGCATGCAATTGACGGCCGTGGTGTATGCTTTCCGTTCCTCTTCCGTGAGGTCGCCGCTATCCTGTGTTAGCATCATGACTGTGGCAGTGACCGAACTTACTTACAACTCTCTACGTACAGCAACAGTGTCCTTGTTACATGTTGCAGATCTCGTCAGACCGTCTGATAGCGTCCCATCCAGTACCTTGTATGCATTTGCGAGAGCTTGCTTCTGGACACCGTCGAGGGTAAGCGTGTCTTGCCTCTGAGTAAAAGGAGATGCTGAAGCGCTAGAGAGTAGAGACAGAGATGCCACAAGGGCCTTGAGTACTGCAATGCCTGCCATCGATTGATTTCTGGCGATTCAGCTAAGTGCGGATCTCAACGCTTTTATGTCGAGCTCCATGATCAGCCTCGTTCTCCGAAGCAGGCCAACATCAACCGTGCCATACTACTGCATGTGCTGGGTCATTTATTTAGAGGGTTGCCAGACGTGGGGCGAAGT